TTTTTGTAATCTTTGAAACCATGTATAACTTCGAATTCTTAGGAGTCAATATGAAACATTCTAATATCTATTTTTGACAAATTCTGACAAAAATAATTTCACGTTCCTAATTTTATTCGGAATTATTTATACCATGTAACATTTTCATAAATTTATGTTGCAGGTAATGCTCCGATCCACTCTTCATCGATTGCTACTACTTGTAACATCCATCATATTTTCAGCATACTGTCAAAACTGTAATAACGCTCCTAGTACTTCGTTAAATATCATTTGTAGCCAAATTGCTGCATGGGCTGCGAACGCAAGGGTAATCTAAGGTCTTTTAAAAAAGTGAAATTTGCATTGATGTCATATTTAGAATGTGCCTACAGTATCGGTGAGTTCGGTTCAAGCCCCAGGAGCTGCAGGTCAAGGCATAGCCCCGTTGGCCGTTTCTGAAAATCCTAGAAGCGCTGGTGAATGCTTGGATATCGCCTGTCTTTGCACTTTCTTCGGTGGAAGCGGTGGATCAAACTGTGTCCTGCCTAGTGGTGCTAGACTAGGTCGGGCACTTCGTAAAGAGTACCGAGTGATGACGGATGCGGAGAGGAACAGGTGTGCGATCGTAAATCTCTAGAAATCCATTTGTTATAAGATTATTTTGAGATATCACACTGCTATGTGGACTATCAAGGGGAATGGAGATTATGATGTGCTGTCTCGAATCCATTCCTCTTTTGTCACATCACCAGGAGCACATTCAGGACCAGCCTTCTTTCCATGGCATAGAGAATTCATCAAAAGGTAATTTCTAGGATGAAGCTTACACTTGCTGCTTCCTGTAGATGTCTATCTATCTGAACGGCAAATGCATATGTCGCGACCACGTCAGAAGCTTAAAAGTTTGCTCAAAAAGCTAACTCACACGAACTGTATGTAATAGAAGGATAGCTAATTTCCTAAATAAAATACCTAACTGATTTTCATAAAATAACTGTTCTAAAAGGAATTTCCCCAAAAAAAAGAAATAATTAAATTTGAATTTGAACCCTTTTGCCACCTGTACTTATGGCTGAATTAAATCGTGTATCATGTATTAAGTAAATTAGGACCAAAATTACTGGAAGAGATTACTGGAAAATGGAGTGGAGGATAAAAAAGAGGAAAAGAACGAAAGAGTAAAGAAAAACCTTAGAAAAGCGCTCAAATACATGTCATAGCTTCAATACCAAAACTTGCTCCCTTTGAAAAATCTAGAGTAATAAACTTTCCTCAACCCTTTTCAGGCTAGAAATTGCATTGCGTAGAGTTGATCCAAGTGTAGCGCTTCCATATTGGGATTCTACCCTTGACTCTACCATTCCAAACCCTACAGAATCGTCTTTATTCACAAATGAATTGATGGGTCGTACAGGACCTGATGGATCAATCGCAACTGGAGCATTTAGAGGATGGCGTACTGTAGATGTGGGTTGACGTCACAAATGAAAGATATTGTGCAAAATGCAAAGCTTTTCTACAGAATTCGAGAGTTTTTCGAAGAAGTCTTGGATCACAAGGTAGACCTTTACAAGAATCCGATATCAATGCCTTATTTGCAACCACCGACTATACCCAAGTCCTTGCCTACACTGCTCCTAGTGCGGTGAGTTAAGGGCCCATTTGGAAAAAAAACTAAGCATTATAACCCCAGTGTCAATTCAATCTCTAGCATTTCAGGGTTGTCCTAATCCAGCATCATGG